TTCCTCGTGCCAGAATACACAAAGGAGGTCACAAAAGTAAGCCAGGCTGTGCTGAAGGCCAAAATCCAGAAGCTAGCTGCCAACCTCGAGACCTGCACCAGGGCAATGGATGAAGTCTGTGACCTTCTTGAGTCCAGAACAGAGTTTTCCCCATGCACAAGGGGACTCAACTTGGGTGCTAAAACCACTGCTGAGATCCAGAGACCATCCAGCTGAAACAGTGTTTGGCTCATACTAAAAATGGGTTTGGAGACATTACATTATTAATTGTGACCATTAGCACTGCTACCTGTTGCTATGGTAAAATTTGTGGTGCTGGTGGACTCAGGTGCACACATCTCGTGTGCTTTATCTATATCTGAACACAAACTCCTTCCTGATAGGAAGCTAAGGATTACACACACACACACACACACACACACACACACCCCCCACCAACTGACAGCAGACACCTGAATCAAGTTGGAAGTTATGATGGACACATGGACTATGATGGACACAGCAGCAGATCTCAGAACCTGAAGGCTGGGGTAGGTGGATGTTCCTCAGACCCATGTTTCCCCAGCCATCTGCCCAACTCTGCTTCCCCAAAGCAGCAAAAAGAAGTGGGTCGGAAGGCTGATGAAATACCTAGTGCTGACTGAACCTGGTCTGTAAACAAGTTACAAATCCATGAGTGGTACAAGGACTGGGGTACCCTAAAAGTCCAGCAGCTGCCAATTTCCAATAGAGTACAGTCCTGTTACCAAGGTACATCTGGAAAGGCTGTAGGAAGAAGCAGCTTCAGATATGACAGAATGTATGGATGGTTCATCATCCTAGGGTGAAATATCAGGGCCAGAATTTGTTATCTCTTTTGAAGAAACCTCTCCAGACTGCAAATTGTGATGTTTGTGTTCTATTTATTTACATGAGATTATTTTAAGGTTTTGATATTGTATTTAAGGGTGTATATAGTTCTTTCTTTAAAAAGGATGTCTCTGCTCCAAAGGAAGGCAGATGTTCTTATAGTGAAAGCAAGTCTGTGGCATGTGAGAGCAAGTTATCTGCTACTTGGCTGTGAGAGAGGGCAAGTCCCTGTAAGAAAAGGAAAGCATGACCTCAATGCTGGTAGTTATAAAATAGGTGAAACATCGTCAACCAATGGCAACAGATCTTAGGAACCAAAGCAGAGAGAAAAACAGGTCAGTGGCCCTGGGATCAGTCTGCCTCAGGACGTTGGTAGAAGAAAGCAGTTACAAGTCTTGCAGCAGGAAGGGAAGCGTGGGTTGCTGTTACTGGTCTGAGCTGGAGCCCAGCTGTGACAAGAGCACAGCAGAGAGGTGGAGGTGCCATTCTCCATGCAGTCAAGCAGCCTGTGAGACCCATAGTGGATTATCTGTGAGGAATGAGGCAGCACTCATGGAGAACTACATATACTCCTAGCAATGCTTCCCAGGGAAGGCTTCATGTTAGAGAAATATATACTGGTACTAATACTCAAGAGGGGTACAGAGGAGTAGGATGATTCAGTGGCAGAGCAGGAGCAGGAGCAAGGAGTGGGACCCTGTTTTAAGTGACTGGTCCGCTAAATATGCCCTTTGTGATTTTTGACCCCTCTGTATCTCAGTTCCCTGTCTAAAAATGGGGATAGTAGCACTTCCCTACCTCACAAAAATGTTTCTGGGACAAATATTGAAAAGTGCTCAAGTACTGTGATGATGGGGATCATGTCAGTATCTGGAAGAGGTACAAGGAAGAGACCCTGAAATTAGCTTGAGGCAACTAAAAGAGTTAATGCAGAGATAACTCCACCTCCAAAAGCATGCCCCAGTGGATAAGGGAATCTTCCCTGCACAGGCATGAATCAAAATGATCAGAAGAACCCACTATGTAATTCTGTAACCCTACACAAATTCTTAGGAAGAGCAAGACTCCATCTCACAAAGCTTGAATCCTTGCCCTTTTTGTCTCTTATTCCCATTACATCAACATTTGTTTTCATACATCAGAAGAATAAAAGCTTTGGTCTCTAAGAGTGTGACTCAGATGCTTGTAATACCTGTGCCTGTTTATCAGAAATGAACACACACACTGCTGATTCGATTAAATGAATATGAAGCACTTTTGTGTCAGTGTCTCTCTGCACTGACATTCCCTGGCATTGAAGCCAGGGACCAATACGAGCAGTTCAGAAGGCAAGGATGAAGAGTGGGGTCATCAGCTCCATGCCACACACAGCTGGCATTAGTGTATGAGTGTATGTTTTTATGCCTGTGTGAATGCATATGCTGGTATGCACATTGCCCATGTACACCGTGGATGTTGGTCTCTGACATGCAAACACTGAGGTACTTCCATGTCAGCCCATAAGTGTGTTTTTGGAGTGTGAACTGCACACTATGCAAGGCAGACACAATGCAAAATTTTTCCTAATGCTTCAGCTTATCACCAACTAACTCTGTCAGATCAGTTACAACCTTAATGTGCTTCTGAGATGGCTGGTTTTATCATCACAGAGAAAATTATGTAACATATACTTATCCTACCCACTCCCTAGTTTTCTGGCAATGCAGTTTTGTCCACACAGGAAACAACACAAGAACAGCTCTAAATGAACCAATCTGATAGGCAGAGGGATTTGCAGTTGATAGCTTAGAGCTTCACCAGGGCTGGTTTGCTCTGCTCAGCACAGTCCTGCACTGCAATCACAGCCACTGTTTCTGCAGCTGAGAACAAATCAGATACTTTTGCTTCCATTCTCAGCCACAAAGGCAAACAATCATGCTTCTGTTCAGTTTTTCCCAAGGCTAATTGTTCACTCCAAGTCAAGATTTGGGTTGTTGCACAGTGCTGCTGTGAGAGTGTAATTGAGTTCAACATTCTCTTCTCAGCCACTCCCTCTCCAGGTTTGTTTGCTACAAAAATCCAAGGGGAGGCTCAGGCAGAAAGTGGGGCCCTTGGGCTTGACAATCTGTAATCCTACACAAAACAGAGGAGCTGCGAGACTTAATTTGTTCCAAAACCTGTCCAGTGCTCTTGGACAGCTTCTAAGCCAGGTGTTGCTGTGAATCTAAGGCTGCACTCTCACACTTGAGCTACACTTGATCTGTCAGCAGACAGGGCAGGAGGTGGTCAGATCTTCCTCACCAGAATATCCTAATAGCATCTCTCTGGGCATTTCAGTGGGTAGATAGGACCAATTACCACTAACTGTGACCTACTGTACACACTGTCCACCTTGTCTTATTATGCACCCCTCATGAAATAGCTGACATTGTATCCGCACTAAAATTCGTCTGCTGCAGATGCTCTCACCCTGTCCCCCCCAAGGAAGATTGAGCTGTAACATGCAATAGAGCTAGGAGCATATTTGGTCAAAAGCCAAGCTTAAAAGCCCTGGAGTGAAAATTTCTAAATCCTGTATAATCTACAGTGTCCTGTGCTGAAAAGCACAAAAAGGGAATTACTATTTAGAAGTTGCATATATATTTTATCACACATGAATGCTCCCAACAGCAGTTTAGGACAGGAGAAAACTCTCATTCAAACATATCTATTTACAAAAGGGAATTACATAAACTGGAGTTTCACCAGAATAAAATTGCTCCACCCTGCTCCCCACCACAACAGCACAATATTATATGGGCAATGAGTTCAACAAGCAGTGACTTCCTGTCACATCCCTGACTCCATTTCCTGAGGCATCTCAGTGACCCTTACAAGGGTTCATGTCAAAGTACTGGCCAGGCTCAGCCTTTAGCACTAATGATATATAGCAAGTTCATAGCTCAGACTGCTGTAATTTTTGAAACGTGGTCACAACTAGCATCTACACGGGGTGCTTATTGCTGTTTGTTTTAATTTATTATTTTAAAATCATTGCTCCTGAGCACAGTGGGATGCAGAAGTTTCATTCCACTCCTGCCCATGAATTGTTTCAGGTTTCCTCTCCTTTCCCTGTCATGCAGAGAGTTTGTTCATATCTTCTCTCACTTTCCGCATTGTTCTGGGAGCAGAGGAAATGCCACGCTTGGAATCCAGTGATACATGCCCAAATATATCAGCATTTCCACTGAGAGCACACCCAGATAGCCTTCCCAGAGAGAGGGAGGCCTGCTCAGACATTCAGTCATGAGTTTCATTTTGCAGCCAGCTCTGCTGTCCTTTTGAAGCCTGAGCTCTTGCATAGGTTATCTTTCTTTTCCCTAAAACAAAGGAAACTCACCTAGCTGCAAGGTTGCCGTGCTGCAATCAGCACTGGGACACAGATCAGAGGCTACACCCAGAGCACATGGAAACCAATGAGCCAAGAAACTTCCATCAAGAAATGATATTTTGATGCTGCGCTCCCTGGAAGGTCAATAAATGCATCACCTTTTTCACCTCTCACTGTGCGCTTGCAGGCCTGAGTCACAACAGCAGTGGTCAAGAGAGCTGGGAGAGTGTTTACATCTACTCCCATCCCCTATTCTCTCATTTTATGCTGTGAGTTGCCATAGTTCACTTTATTTTGTATTTCTGGCACTTCGAAAATTCACACTGCCAATTACCATAAACAGGAAAACAAGGTGGGATAATGACAGTTCTTTTCTTTTCCCTTCTCTAGTGCTTCAAAATGTTTCATACCAGCGCTTCTGAAGAAGTTAATTTGCTCTTTATATGTCTTACATATGTAAGTTTATATATATTCTTGTATTTTTGTATATTTAGCAGCTCCTTTTGCGTTGTTCTTTCCCAGCTGCAGAATGTGTGAGCACAGAGCACCATCACCCACTGCCTAAGCAGTGCAGCGCTGAGCTTGCGGTCAATGCCGAACAGGAACGTTTTCATACAGCCAATTCAGCGTGCCCTTATCCCAGGACAGGTGCCTGTAGATCCGTAACTCCCCCTTCCCTGGAGACCTCTCGGAGTTTAGGGTAAATCCGCCCGCTCCGGCAGGCTCTTTCTCCGGAACTACAAATCCCATCACACCGCGAGGAGGACTACAGCTCCCAGCGTGCTCTGCGCCGCCACGGCGGGGACGATCCAAGATGGCCGCGGGAGAGGAGGAGGGGGCGGCGGCGGGGACGGAGACGGAGTCGGAGGCGGCGGTGGAAGAGCTGCGGAGCTTCAAGGACCTGGTGAGGTTGGGACAGAGCCGCTTCTGCGCCCGGTGCTCTTCTCCCGTCCCGAGGAGCAGCGTCCCGCCCCCGGCGCGCAGCTCAGGCCGTGGGGAGCTTCCCACGCAGCGCCGTGTGCGCGGCGGGCGGACACGTGCGGGCAGTCGATCTCGGTTGAACTGGGGGCCTGATGGGGTTGGTTTGTGCTAGAGACAAGCTTGGCTCTGTTGCAGCATGTATTTAACTTTAGTCTGTGATTTAATTTATGTCTTCTTGGGGATGTCTGTTTCCCTTTTCTCTTTTCACTAATGTGCAGGGAGTGACAGATGTGCTGTGTGAAGCTTGTGACCAGTTAGGATGGAAGGTGCCAACAAAGATCCAAGTTGAGGCTATTCCAGTGGCTCTCCAAGGTGAGCAGTGTGCTTCTTTGATCCTGAATCAGAGAATGTCCCAGGAGCTCTATGTGAATGAATTTTGCTGAGTGAGAAGGGTCAGGGATGAGAGTGTCCCAGCTTCTTCATCACTGAGGATCTCTGTTTAGAAGTAGTCTTTGTGTTCGTTCTGTCCCCTACTCAGGTGGAGCTTGGAATACTAGATTATCCTATAAAACTCCCTGCAATCCAAACTTTCAAGTGGGTACAAACATGATTTCTTGAGTGTTCACTCTTGTTGTGTAGTTCTGACACTCTGTGTTAAATAGGATTATTATGAATCATTTGAACTGTTAATCTGAATTGATAATTTTCTTTCTGAAATACCCAAGGATATGCAGGAAGCTTCCGATAGGTTTTGGACTGTGCCTCTTCTGATAGAGACCTACAGTGTGTGTGCATCTGAAACTGGAGATACTTTGGCTGATTCCGTAGCGTGTATGATCTGCTTTGCTGTGAGCAGGCAATTCTTTGAAATTAGATTTCTGTAATGAGTCATAACCAAACTACAGTGACTTTCTCTAAGCATCCTGAAATTAAAAGAAAATAAATTACTGAATTCAGCAAACATTTCTGCCTCTAGAAGTGTTTTATTTTAAAACAAAAGCCCCTAAAATACTGTGAAGCAGGAACAGAACAATGTAGTGACAGAATGGGAACAAACTTTCAGTATCTACTCTGTCCTAGTACTTAACTGTTGTCAGACTCTTTTATTCCACATATAAGGTTCTCGGGGCGGGGGGGGGGGGGGGGGGGGAAGCCGTAAAACCAACCAAAAGTAAGACTGCATTCCTGAGAAGTTGTCTCCAGTGTAAGGCCTGTTGGTAGCATGTTCTTCTGAGCTGTCCAAGCTCAGGAGGTCATAATGGATTCTACTGATGAATTCCACCCTGTTGCCTGCACAGTTTTTGGGCAAAGGAGCAAAGGACTTGCTGTTCTAACCCTTCCTGCTGCAAACTGATTTAGATTCATTAATCAATGGCACAGTTGTGGTTTGTGAAATGTGAGTTTGGTAGTGCTGTTGTCTTGTAGCTCCTGTGCCAAAATATCAGACACTGGAGTCTGTTTCCTTGTAAGTCAGTAAACAGACAGCGTTTGGACTAGAATATCAAGACAGAGCCATTAAGCTGTAAATTGACAGGCAGATTTGAGACATCATAAAATAAAGCTTATTTTAAAGTTTGTATGAAACCCTGTATATTAGCAGAAGTTTAACTAGAGAATTGAGTATTGAGACTGTAATTATTGTACAAATGAAATCACAGTCTAAAAATGCTTCATAATTGCTCTGAAATTCTTTGGTTTGACCACTTGTTCTTTTTTACGTTGTGTGTCTTCCTTTTTTTCTCTGTCCTTAGGGAATTCTTGTGCTTTATTGCATAGTACTTTAAAGGCTTCTTTCTCTGCTCTAGATGTGTAACAGTTTTTTGCCTTCCTTGCTGCTTCCTGTAGGCAGAGACGTCATTGGACTGGCAGAAACTGGCTCTGGAAAAACAGGAGCTTTTGCTTTGCCCATTCTTCAAGCACTGCTGGAAACACCTCAGCGGCTGTTTGCTCTTGTCCTCACACCAACAAGGGAGCTGGCCTTTCAGATCTCAGAGCAGTTTGAAGCTCTCGGATCCTCTATCGGTGTCCAAACTAGTAAGTAACTTACTAGTATTGGACCAGTTTTCCTGAAGACTAAAGTTAGTCAGGTCAGGATTGCAAAGTTAAAAATAGAGGATTTGTATGGAGGGTTGAACAAAAAGTAAGAAAAGCTTGTGATACTGGAAGACAGAGATCTGGTATCAGGTTTGCAAAAGAAAGACTCTATGGAAAGACCATAGAGTCAAGGAGAAATCTGCAGCTCTTCTGCATTTTATGTCTAAACAGTTAAAGATGGAAGTAGAAGAGAATGTTCTCAATATTAGGTTTGTGTCCAGTGAAATTGCATAGAGCTCCCTGCTGTAGTGTGATGTAGTTTAATATTTCTTTCAGACTGTCTGTATGGATTCTTTAGATACTCTCATTATTATTATTATTATTATTATATTACTACTAATAATAATAGCTTTATGGGTATTTTTAGAATTTCTAGATTTTTCTAGCTGAGTTAAGGTGCAAGGAATAGATTCTGCCTGTGAAAATAAAATACCTGGGGCAAGTAAGGACTTAATTGTATGGCATAAGAGGCCTGGGAAGGTCAGGTATGCTAAAATAAAGTGAATTCTTATAAATTCTCATAAAAATAAGTAGTCTTTCATTTGTACAGAGTTGTGGATGGTGAGGAGTAGGAGCAAACACTATAGTGCCTGTGGCTGACTGGTGCTACACTGAGGGATTCACTATATTCTGTTTGTCCTGCAGCTGTTATTGTGGGTGGAATTGACACAATGTCTCAATCTCTGGCCTTAGCCAAGAAACCACATGTTATAATTGGTAAGTTAATGTGCGGGGGATATGGAGTGTTAATATTATCAAACTGCGGTTACCCAAAGACAGACAGCCAGAAGGTTTTGTTAGAGTACATCTTTCATTTGCTTTTGTCCTGAAATCTCAGTATTGGTTTGCTAATGTTTCTAAAGTATACACCAATAACTTTGTTGCTACAAGCTCATTCCAAAGCATTCCTGCAAGACCTCCTTTGGCTTGTTTTTTCATTCTCCTCAAATGTTTTAAATCCTGGTTTCATCCATTGCAGTGTAGCTCATTTACGGTCTGTTGTGTGTTGTGTTTTTTTAAGGGGAGGACATTCTTCTGAGGGTCTGACTCCATTAGTCTTATTTCAAAACACTCTCTGAAGATGTCCTATGAAAGAGTTACTCCCACAAAGCAATCTGCCTTTACTTTTCTTGAGCAAAGAATCCCATTTCTGTAATGAATGACTGTCTTGCCTGTTTGGATCTTTCTTTTCCTTTGCTTTAATCCAATTTGCTCTCATGATGTTGTTGGTAGCAACCCCTGGCCGTCTGGTTGATCATCTGGAGAACACAAAGGGCTTTAACTTACGTGCTCTGAAATTCCTAGTGATGGATGAGGCTGACCGGATTCTTAACATGGATTTCGAGACAGAGGTAGGAATCTGCTGAAAGAGTTTGGAACACCAGATGAGTCCCTTTAAAATCTCTTCATACAGTCACATAGCAAACACTGAACTGTTCTCTAGAAATTATGAGCAAATTGTAACTAAGATCTGATAGCTGCATGAAATTCTGTGGTGGGAGTAGAACATAGGGGAGTTCTGCAGAGCGTTGCCAAGACAGTAGGAGGCATTTTGTCTCTGAAATCTACTGATTTCTCTGGAGTGCCTGATGTGGACACAGTTAATGTAGAACACAATCACACACACATTCCTGCAGAAACTTTGCCTGATATTTGCACTGTTATTGGACTTCTGGAATTCACACTGCCTAATTGTCAACAAGCTATCAGCCTACACCTTCCCTTTAGAAGAGGAAAAATTTGTTCCTACTGTATGTCTGCACATGCATTACTCTTCATGTGGATGATCATTATATTTGGGGGACGCTTGTGTCTTAGGTGCTCATAATAATTCAGTATTCCCATTTCCTTATCTCTTTTTTGCAGGTGGATAAGATACTAAAAGTGATTCCTCGAGACAGGAAGACATTTCTGTTTTCTGCCACCATGACCAAGAAGGTGAGAGCAGAGTACTCTGCTTTAGTTCTTCCATCAGGCTATCCTGTTGACTAAACTGTATTAATACAGGTTTCTGACAAGATCTCTGTCCATCCAGTGCTAACTTACAGTGATCTTACCAGGTTCAAAAACTCCAGCGTGCTGCTCTGAAGAATCCTGTTAAATGTGCTGTTTCTTCCAAGTATCAGACAGTTGAAAAACTACAGCAGTACTACATTTTCATCCCCTCAAAATTTAAGGTAATGCCACTTCTGTTTCTTCCCTTTTCTCATTATGTCTTGTCGTCTTCTTCCCACATCTGCCCAGTATCTTGTAATCTTCTGTGGCTTAGACTTAGTCTTTAATGTCGTACATGTGATTTTTTTTTTTTTTTTGGTAAATTCTCTCTCTATTTCGTTACAGGACAGCTACCTGGTTTATATCTTGAATGAACTAGCTGGTAACTCTTTCATGATATTCTGTAGTACCTGTAACAATACTCAAAGGACTGCTCTACTGCTCCGCAACCTGGGTTTCACTGCCATTCCTCTCCATGGGCAGATGAGTCAGGTATGGGCATTACCCCACAGAATGGAGCAGACAGGAGACTTGTGGCTTGGGAAATGGGCAGCACCATACTGAGTCACAGCTACCTTTCAGAAGGAGTACTTCACAGCTAGTGGACTAGATTGATCCCTAAAGATTTAACTAATGTGAATGCTGCCACTGATTCTGTAATATTTCAAAAAGAAATTAGAGAAGTGAGATTTTTGAGTAGTTTCTCCCCTGGTTCTTTTGTGCCGGTATTTCAACAAGAGCATATTAACTAGAATGAGTGTTACTCTCTCATTCCCTTTTTGTCCTCTTCCAGAACAAACGTTTGGGCTCTCTAAACAAGTTCAAGGCAAAGGCACGTTCTATTCTGCTGGCTACTGATGTTGCAAGCAGAGGTCTGGACATACCCCATGTAGATGTGGTGATAAACTTTGATATCCCTACGCATTCTAAGGTAAGCTTGTCTGTGTGTCTGCTGAGAGCTTCTGGTCACCAGGACATAGTGAAGGTAGACAAAGGAACAAAGACGTCTTTTTTCTGCTCTTCTGATTGGAAACCTGGTTCACACTTCTGTAGATTAGAAGGTGTAGTTCAGCCTCTGCAGCTGAGTTGGTATCTCAGTTTGGTTGGATGGCCTCATCTGGATTGTAGAATTGATCCCATACGTGAAGAGGGGAAGTGACGAACATTCTGTGTCTTTGCGTTTCTGTTCGGGGTATGCGTTTTGCCATATTGCATTAAAGAGCTTTGAAAACAGTTTTATTATTATTAGACATATTATTAGTCTCATGTGTTCCTGTGATCCAGGTCTGCCTTCATATTTTAAACTGTGTTTTAAAAAAAAAGAAAAAAAAAATTCTCCCATTATGTTCAATGAGCATTTGATCAAGAAAGGTGACTTACATTATGTTTCACCTTCATATCACAGAAGTACAGCAAACTGAAAAGAAAGTGAGTTACTGTCTTATAGAAAGTATAGGATTATATCAGGGATGTGATTGTTTCCCAGCCTGGTTCCAGAAAGCATACCATTAACATGCATTTCAGGAATTGCTGTTGTTGCTTACAATGATTGAAGATACTATACCTTGCAAACAGAAGAAAGCATGATCTTTCAAAGAACTACTTTTAGTGTTGTAAAAGGACAAACAAAAGAAAAAAAATGGAGGTGGCAGCAGCTTAAGTGATGTTATTACAGTTTTTGTGCTCTTCTTTCTCATCTAGCCCTGTCACAGAACACGTCCTTTCTCGTGATTCTTTCTCCACAGATACTGTATGGAGAAGGGAGTATTTTAATTTCTGTAATGCAGTATAAAACCTGGAAAACAGCCTAGAACCGTATTAACAGAAGACACTCAGGCTCTTCCAAATTATTCTCAATCACCCTCCCTTTCACTGTGCTTGCCAAATTTAAATCTACTTGTCTGAGAGTGTCTCTGGAAGATAGACTATGTCGAGCACTAGATGCTAAGACTGAAAATGCAGGCATGGGCTCACTGTGAATATTACCTTTCCAAGGAAGTGATACTGAAGTCTCAGCAAAGTCATGTATTGCAACTTTTGTCCTGCAGTCTGGAATAAATGGAGTTGGTCTTCACCTTTAGAAAGAGAAGAATTCAAATGTTAAAACCAAAGATATGCCGCAACAAGCCAGCATCTTCTCTAATTCTGATGCTGCACATGGTCCTGAGTGTTTAATCCTGGAGTATTTTCTCCCCATTTTCTTGTTCTTTCCTAAAGAATAATTGTGTAGGCTGATTTACCATGACACCTGTTCTGTGTTTGGTGAACATATCTTATTGCTTACCAAGAAAATTGTTTTCAGGATTACATTCATCGTGTTGGGAGAACAGCTCGAGCTGGAAGATCTGGCAAATCTATCACCTTTGTCACACAGTAAGTGTTAAAATTTGGCAGACTTATTCTTTCCAGCTCTATTTCAGAGCAGAAAATATCTGACCTCATCCTGGGTGAGAAGAAAATACTACTTTTTGTTTTGAGGTGCCAGTTGGTTTTATTTACTTAAAGGGGAGAGAATTCCAAGCCCAGTGTGGGGAGGGAGAAAGGTCTAGAGAAATTCTAGAAGCAGTCATGTAATGAGCAGAACTGTTTATAACTGAATTGTTATACATACATACGTTTTTATAATATATAATACAGCTTAAGTAGCTGCAGGGGGTGTTTATAATTACTGAACCGTTTGTCTGAAGAAGTCTTTTTCAAATCCTTCTGAACAGAGACGAGCTGAATAAGTCAGAGAAGCCACCCCAAACAGTGGCATCATTCAGATGCAGTTGAGTTGCTTGTGAGACCATCAGCACAATCTATCTGTGGGCTGCAGAGAAAGGATGAATTCTATGAGTGGTGACAGCTGAAGCACTCTCAGGAGGGCTGATTCAATCTGGTGTCTTGTCTTCTCGCAGGTATGATGTGGAGCTATTCCAGCGCATCGAACACCTGATTGGCAAAAAGCTGCCAGCGTTCCCCATGCAAGAGGAAGAAGTTATGATGCTGACAGAGCGTGTGGCTGAGGCCCAGAGAATTGCTCGAATGGTGGGTGCTGACTTTTTGTCCCTCTGCTCACTGTTGTAATCTGAATTTCCTCAGGTGCCAGAACTCTTGGTCAATCTATTGATTGCATTGCAGGAGCTGCGGGAGCAAGGAGAGAAGAAGCGATCTCGGAATGATAACGATGATGACACAGAAGAAGCTATTGGTGTCAGGAATAAGGTGGCAGGTGGGAAAAAGAAGAAAAGAAAAGCCTTCTAATTCGATATTCAAACAGACTTTTTTATTTTTCTCTTCATGGCTATATGAGCTGGCAAAAACGGTCTACCAGGCTATCTCCAGTGGATTTTTTTTCAAAACTACATGTGAACTTGGGTGGTCCATGAGGAAAACAACTTCTCTTCTGCTTTACCAGCTACAGACTGAGCTTGGACCATTGTGGTACCATAGTACCAGTCTTCTGTTCAGAGACATCATTAGAGACTGTCTGGACCTGGAAGCAGCTGTGGTCTGGCCCTGCTCATTCACAAAGAAGTGCAGTGTGACTGCAGCTTTTGCATTGCTGCAGCCTGTCTCACTACCCAATCTCACTGAGTGCATCTGGGGTCAGATAGATCTGTCAGAAAAAGTTAAAAAAAGTGACTGAGTTTTCACAGAGATGTGTTATGTGGAGAACTCCAAATATATTTTGGTTAATTTTAAAGCTACCTGGTTCTCCTTGTCTTGTCATTGACCTGTTTTGTTCAGTTTGTATATTTGCTCTGCCAGGTTTTTTTCTTAGGTCAATCTTAGCAATTCACATGTGACAATACCTTAGATATGTCAGCTGAAGAGTGGCCCAGCACAGGAGCACCAGTTTTGGCAGGAGGCTATTCACTGCTTGGAATTCCATCCAGAATCTGTAATGATTGACATGATAAGAAGGAAAGGTTTGGGGTTTGGGTGGGGTTTTTGCTGCTGATTCTTGTAGTACTTATAAACGAACACAAGAGGGGGGTATTAACATAGGAAAGCTGCTGACAAGCAGGGTGGTAAAGAAAAACGGGTATCATAGAAGTTCTGTTTCCCTAGTTATTTCTCTGTGTTAGGCAGAGTTCCATGCCATATAAGTAGACTCTTGCAAGAATGGGATAAGTGTACTTACCTTCATATCTAACCAGGTTAGTGCTAGTTCTCATTGGCAATTAAAAATTTCAAGCTGGATGTTTCTGCTGGTGGGCAGAGAAGAATGAAAAGCTCCTCTATATCACTCAACATGAGAATTTAATGTCCATTAGAACCACTCATAAACTGGATTTTCTGCTATGTGAAAAACAATGTTCACAATAGTTTTTTTTAGATCTAGATTGAAAATAGAAACTATTGCAGTAGTTGATGAGCACAGTGGTGCCCCTGTCCAAGCCATGGGCTGCAGCTTTTCCAGGAGTATGCGATGGGAGACAGTGGCAAAGGTTTTGCTGAAGTCCAGATAGACCACATGGTAATTCTGTGGGGCCATTTGGTAGTAAACCCCACAGGTAAGAGAATACAGCCCTAGAATGTACCCGAGAGAGAGGAATAAAATGAGTGAGCTTTGTGGGTGGGGATGCAAATGCTTCTTGCCCACAGAGCAAGGGAACACCCCCAACTGGTCTTCTGTCCTGCTGGGTGCTTGAACAAAATTTCTTATTCTTCATAAGCAGGACAGGGTTGGTTCCAGTATCAGCAAAGGAAACTTAAATCCTTCTGAGGGTCCTGGGACCCTGGGAAAGCTCTTGAGTGTTATTCCCAGCTACGTAATGGATGGGATGCATAGTCAGCCCTGAACCAATCTTGTAAGGTGATGTGAAGGGCACATGACTGCTGGAGGAGGTAGGGCAGAGTAATTTCCCTTCAGAAGTAGCATGATGCTTGCTTTAATAGCTTCTTGGAGTCTGTAGCATCTCTCTGTGTTCTTTCCTATATGGCAGGCTGCAACAGCAGCAGTCTTGCCCCTTGATGGGATCAAAGATTCTCTATCCCTCCTCTGCAGTTGCAAGAATATTGGAGGAGAGAAGTAGAGCTACTCATTGTGAAAGGTTACAGAGCCTCCTTGAGAGGAGTGACTCCTAGACAGCTGGCCACCTCCCTTGATTTGGAATGACAAGCCACAGAAGCATTTGGCGCTAGGAAAGCAAAGGTCTCACCACACCCACATTCTCACTGGTGCCTCACCTGCCACAGGTATGTGCGTTCAATTTCAACTAAAAATACCTCAACAGGTTGGAGGGGCAGGAAATGGGTATTTTATTGTGACTACTTCAGGAGGGCTGGGTCAGAGGGTGTTTGTATAACTGAAGTGGAATAGGGAGTGTCCAAAGATGTATTGGGTCAAAATAGAATCTGCAGCCAGCCCAAGCAAAATCTGTAGCTGATCTAATGAAACACGAGGGGAAAAGAATGAAGTGAGACCTGTCTCTGGATAAAAGTTCAGAAAATACCAGCACTGGTATGTGCATGACTGCATACTTTTGTACAACAACTGCTTCCAGTGTATTTGTTCAGTCAGGAGGACTTCTGACAAGCAGGTCTGAAGCACACCCCTGCACACCTCTTGAGTTTTGCGCAGCAGGGAGCTGAGTGGAGGATTAACCTTAGTGTGATGTAAGGTAGGATTGGGCTAACATAACCTGTCATGTTTTTGTAGTTGAAACTCAAGTGAAGTTTCAATAAAAGCTGTGTTCTTGAAAAACGTTCTGTGGGGATGTTGGCAGTTTGAAACCATTCTACACTTCCTAAGTTTGTGATAAGAAGGTGATTGTTTATGCATTTGTAACACATATTTTAAATTACGTTTTATAGTTTTGATTTTTCGTACTGCATAGGTGACTACTTCAGGCACTAACAAATAGGGATATAGTGGCTTTCATTTAAGTGTTCTAGACCCGACAGAAGTGGGACAATCCTTTTGAGGGGAGAAGTAAAATTAAACATTGATGTCAGTGTGGATAACTAACTCCAAGATAAGTGACGATAGCTGCAAAAAGGTAGCAAGCAATCCCTACAACCACACAGTGGTCCAGCGCAGAAGCTGCACTGAACTGACCTGTCTGAAGAGAATCTGGCCGTGTCAGTTCCTCAGTGCCATGCACCTGCTGCCCAGGGGCTGCAAGGGAAGACACGGGCCGGAAAGCACAACTGGGAACCACAGTGGGGAATCCAGGGCTTTTTTCTGTGATGGCAGCCTGAGCCTAAGTCTGCTTAAAGTAACCATGAGGCACAGAGCTTGTTCAAGGGCCTGGCAACCTGCCTGCTTCCCCTCCCCCCAAAAAGGTAAAGGTGACTAGAGAGGGAGAGCTAAATACCATGACACTCTCACAACATCATTAACTTGTGCTGAGAAGAGTCTCAGTTTAGGAGGGAACTCTCAGAAATAATTGGGAATCTGGAGGGCCTTAGTTTACCAATCAGGACTGAAGTTTGTAAACATTTCCAGTTTAGACAAGCACAGAAGAAGGAAAATATCCAACACACTTAAAAGCCCTTGGACATACTTAAGAAGGAATGGAATTGATTGCATGACCTATGAAAGACACAGGCATGTACCAAGCATTTTGATGCTGTTTAAATGTGAAGTTGTGGTTTGCCTGCAATGACATGTGAGGAGCTTCTGTAAACATTCAAGTGAGCAATTAGTTATTGTAAATGTTGCAGAGGAAATGCTGTAAAAATCCAGCTTTGGTGCCAGACGTAGTCCATGTAGTCGTTCTGAATTCTTACTCCTCTAGCTTTTGTACTTACCAGTAGATTTTTTGGGGGAAAAAAACCAAAACCAATTCCTGTAAATATGGAGAATCAGAATATGAGTTTCTGACAGAATCCCAAGCTCTGGGTTAACTCTTGAACTTTAAGAAAACCAGGTTAAAAGACACTTTCTTATTTTTCAGTTGGCTTTTTCTCCGGTCTGATTAGGAAAGCTCTTTCTGAATAACAATATTTAAGAGGAAGAACTAAGGATGTTTTGTTCCTCTGGCACCTAAGAAATGGAAGTGGTTGCTTGATCTCTGGCCCAAGGATGAATACAGCCATGCCTCTAGTGCTGTATTTCTTCCTGAGGACCCTTCAGATACGGAAACTTAGGATGATGACATAACTCTTTCTGCTTCCAAAGCCCCCCTGGGTGTATATGCCTTCCTGAACATGGTAGTTGAGTATATGCCATGTCTCATGGTAGGATGTGTGTTGGACTGTGCCAAGGTCATGCCTACTTGTGCAACAGGAGACAGTGGTACTGTGCAGTTTTCAGATATTGACATTATAGGTCCTCAGGGAGGGGTGGATGCCTTTGGAGCTTGTTCAACACTTTTTCTGGGAAGCACCCAGAAGCCTGAAGCTGTTTTTACTAGAGGCTTACATGGTCATTTTGTGTGCCCAAAGGGAAGAGGACTCTTTTTCTTTGCCTTCTCTGCTGAAAGATCCTCATCATTGCTGAGATGTACATGCAGCTCTTTTGCCTATCTCAAGAATAAAGTTAGGAGTAGGACTTATGTAAAACGCCTCTGCCTTCCATTGGACTTGGTGATTTCTAAAGGTTCCTGAGGAAAGGGAAATGCAATGTGGGCTTTCTGTGCAAAAATGTTTTGTCTTCCATGTCACAGAGACTACTGCTTCTGTCTATCACTTCCTCCTCCTGTTTTGATATTGTCAAGGAAGGTGGGTTTTTGGCATGTATTTCCCATCTGAACTGATTTAAGTACCCTTTAATCCTCCTCAAGTCTTTCACTCACAAACATGCCTCTGTGTAAAGGAAAGCAAATAGCAAAACTTGCTCTGCAAGTTATCTATGTGATGTAGAGGGAGGATTGCATGATAAGGTTGAATTGATTTGGTTATGCTAGCTTTCCATTAAAAAATTATTCCTTTGTGTGGTTTTTGTTGTACATTTGCTTCATCCCATGAACAAAACTAAAACATGAAATTGCTTGGCTTTGATGTAGTAAAAAATCTTTTGCACAATAAGAGCTGGAGTCACAAAAGAACCTTCTTTCCTGCAGTAGCAATGTAAGGGGGCACAGGATCCATGGAGCAAGCCTGGAAGAGAATGTGTGGAGGCTCATTCAATTCTATTACAAGCAACAGAAATTAAGGTACCCCAGTCATGCATGTAATTGGATATACTTGGTCTTCTACTGTCTTTATTGTAGCTCATTTGAAGGGAATTTATAATGGGAAATACCTAGCTGTCCTTGCCAGCTTCTGTGCTTGGTGTATCATCAGCAGGAAGGTAATACTTCTTATCCTTCAATACATATTCAAAATCATAAATTTGCCACTAGTGAGTGATTTCCTATTACTGCTGCTCATGTGCATGCTTACAGGTTTGCTAAACTTTTATCCTGGTGCATGCCAGAGGCTGTCTTTGGTCGTTAAGGATTAATTTCCAAATGCAATCAACAAATGAAGCAGGCAACCAAATAGACTCCTCTGACAGAGCTTAGGCAGAATCAGCTTTCCATGCCTGTAGTTGCAGGTCTCAAGATGCCTCTTGGAGTTCCTGCAGAGCTATGAACTGTTTTCCTTTGGATACACTCAAGGCATGTATGTGTATTAGTTTAGTCTTTCTCCACCTATTGGTGAGAATTTCTTCAGTATAAACTAGGAATCTTGGAGTTGCCTTTCCAATTTTCAAAAAGAAAGATAAAAATGCAAACTTTTAAAAATGGAAAAAGGCAGTGCTCTCCAAAATGGAAAATGTAGTGAGGAATGGTTATAAAAGATCTGTGGAAGAAATATCAGAAGTAGATTTGCTAGTCTGTTCTCTCTAAGATCAAATTTAGAGAGAGCCTCGTTTCTGGCTGTGTTTGCACACATCTTGGATGAGTTTGTTAGAGAGCCCTTCCTTGTGAAACACATGCTAGTGTTTTGTGACCCTCTCATTCTTCCAAAGCTGCCACTCGGATGGGACTTCTTTACTCCAACTATATTGCCCCTATCTAGTTCAGAGAATGACTTTTTGAAGATCCACCCTCTGAATGCCAGGCTATTCCCTCCTCTTTCAGATGCTGTCACCTGGTCTGTCTGATGAACAGCTTTGTCATTAGTGTGGAAACTCCCTCTCCATCAAGGTTGAATTAAGCTGATGGATGGGGAATCACTGTCACAAGTCTTGGTCTTGTATTTGCATAGACTGTTTGCATGTGACTGCTATGGTCCTTTGAAAATCCTATAGCAGAAAGTTGTGGCTCTCTTAAATTAGAAGTATCAGATGCAGAGGAAGACTTGGCTAGTGCAGGGCTCTGTTAGCCTTCTGTTGTTGATAAACCTGTTGTGCAATGGGAAGGCAACTTGCTGGAAGGCATAGTATCAATTAAATCTAGTTAGTGTCTTTATCTCTGTATCTTACGCAGTAAATAAAGCTTTTTTTTAACACAAGAAGCCTTTTGGAAAGCTGATTGACCTGTTCTTTCTTGGAAAGGAAGGCAGAGCCCCTGAACCAGGGTGTCCAGTGCCAATACTACATTAAAAACTTTGAGAGCTCTCCTCCTTCACTATGTTCCTCAGCCTCTCCTACTTGGGCCTGGGCAGCCTCCTGGAGGAACTGTTCAGCTTTGTTAGACATATCAGCCCTTTCTATCACCTGAGATCTGCAGGACTGTGTATTACCAATTTATATAGGCAGCACAGAAAATGCACAGGTGGAGATGCTTTTATGCCTCAAAGTGCTTGTGGATTAACATTCAAAAATATACTGAAGTCTATGGAAAAGACAGTGCAGTAGTTATTGTCATGTGAAAATACAGGGATAAAGAGGAGGACTGATGGGGGGAAAGCCTTTTTTTTTTTAGCAGGATAGTAGTTGCACGGAGCTGTTATCTCCCTTGGTGGGAGAAGACCTTTGACAAGTAGAGATCTGAAGCCAACAGTGGTTGGGTGACCTTGCCTTGAAGTGGCTTCTGTGATGACACTCATTTCCTTTGCCTTCATACTGGCAGGACACTACCCTGTGTTCTGCTTCAGCTGGAAGGCTTGTCTCTATGACTGAAGTGGGCAATGGCAGAAACCAGGACTGCCTGACATACAAGGTACTGGTAGGCTAGAGCAGGTGAGCCTGCCTGCTCAGCATGTCAGCAGAATCTCAGACAGGCAGAGTTTGCATCTTTCTGCTCTCCTGAATTGTCTTGCAGGATTGCATTATTACCCAGTCCACTCCCATCATTTGATCAGATAAGGCTGACCAAGGGATTTCACTAACCTTTGGAAGCATTCAGTGACTGAGATCTTGGGGCAGTGGTGCCCACAGGTGCATGAAGCTGGGGAACCACCTCTCCTGTGACTGAGGGAAAGGGAATCTCCCTGCATAGGCTGGAGTAGGGAAGCCCCTCCGCCCACAAGTGCCTGGGTGCAGCCTCCCTCCCTGCCCTCGGGCCTTTCCACATAGACCGACTTGTTCCTTTGGAGGCATTGGCCAAGGGCTCCCCTCACATAATTAACTGGCAATGCTGTGCTTCCTTCCTGCAGCTGGCACAGACCTGATAAGTTCTGCCAAGATCCTCCTCAAGAGAGATCTCCTCTTGCCCAGTATGCCCCACCATGTGTTGTATTATTAAGCTTCCATTATTTTTGGGGGAGGAGACACCTCCCATCTTCTCCCCCCACCTTTAGTCTCTCCTACATATCTGAATACCTTCCTTCACCACAAAAGTCTCATGTATCAATCCCCTTTTCCAAGCACCTTCTGCACTCTGCTCTGCT